CCACTGCAAGCTAGACAAATAACATTCTGACACACCCCCATAGCCAAAGTGGGGTGTAATCAGCAGAGCAGGCAAAGCAGTACAAGCTCAGGGTGGATCACAATGTCACCACACATTCTGAGCACAAGTTAAAGAAGGAATAGTTTAAAGTTAAGAATTATGAGCACAGCTAGTGGTAGTCACAACGGGCAAGTGAGGAGGAGGAGAGAGAGTGAGGGGAGAGGAGATAGGAGGAGACGGCTGAAGCTGCAGACACACGGGTAACAGGAGGCAGACTGGCACAGCGGCTACCGGACTAAGCTCCCGGACTACAGGAGTAACAGGCCGCGCGGCTAAAGTAGCGGCAGACGAGCAACGGACCCACGGGCGGCTGGCGTAGAAGTCTAGCTCACTGGGCTACCGGGACAGCGCCCCGGACTACAGGTGCTGCGGACAACAGTACGACAACTTCCATGCAGCTTCCCCAAACAGTCCCACCCCCCTGACACACACCCGCTGCTACACCGCTAGCTCCACTCCCACGCACCCCCCTTAAACCCTAAACCCCAGTCTCCCACACAACCACCCCCCTCAGCGACAGCTGCAGCAGTGGGAGACGAAGGAGGAGGAGGAGCAAAGGGAGGAATGCACACCAGCCACCCCCATACCCGCAAACGGGGGGGGGGGGGGGGGGGGGGGGGGGGGGGGGGAGAGCAGAAACAGTGCGCACGAGGGCGCAGACAGTAGCAGAGCGCACGAGGGCGCGAGCGCGAGGCACGAGCAGCACCAGGCACATGCAGCACAGGGCAGCACAGGCACGGGCTGCAACAGGCAAAGGCAGCACAGGCACGGGCAGCACAGGGCAGCACAGGCACGGCCAGCAACAGGCACAGGCAGCACAAGCACGGGCAGCACAGGCACGGGCAGCACAGGCACGGGCAGCACAGGCACAGGCAGCAACAGGCACAGGCAGCACAGGGCAGCACAGGCACGGGCAGCAACAGGCACAGGCAGCACAGGCACGGGCAGCACACGCACGGGCAGCACAGGCACGGGCAGCACAGGCACAGGCAGCAACAGGCACAGGCAGCACAGGGCAGCACAGGCACGGGCAGCAACAGGCACAGGCAGCACAGGCACGGGCAGCACAGGCACGGGCAGCACAGGCACGGGCAGCACCAGGCACAGGCAGCAACAGGCACAGGCAGCACAGGCACGGGCAGCACAGGCACGGGCAGCACAGGCACGGGCAGCACAGGGCACAGGCAGCAACAGGCACAGGCAGCACAGGGCACATGCAGCACAGGGCAGCACAGGTACGGGCAGCACAGGCACGGGCAGCACAGAGCGTACCGGGTCCAGGGGCGGCTTCTGAGGTCCAGGGGCGGCTGCTGCAGGGGCTGCTGCTCCAGGGGCCAGGGGCGGCTCCTGCACGGGCGGCCGCTCCAGGGACCAGGGGCGGCTGCTGCAGGGTCGGCTGCTCCAGGGACCAGGGGCGGCTGTACCAGCGGCGGCTGCACCAGGGGCGGCTGCTGCAGTGGCGGGCAGCTCCAGGGGCGTCTGCTGCTGCAGGCTCTGGCGGCGGCTGCTGCTGCAGGCTCGGCGGCGGCTGCTGCTGCAGGCTCTGGCGGCGGCTGCTGCTGCAGACTCTGGCGGCGGCTGCTGCTGCAGGCTCTGGCGGCGGCTGCTGCTGCAGGCTCTGGCGGCGGCTGCTGCTGCAGGCCTGGCGGCGGCTGCTGCTGCAGACTCTGGCGGCGGCTGCTGCTGCAGGCTCTGGCGGCGGCTGTTGCTGCAGGCTCTGGCGGCGGCTGCTGCTGCAGGCCTGGCGGCGGCTGCTGCTGCAGGGCGGCGGCGGCTGCTACTGCAGGATCTGACGGCGCCCCGCGGGTCCCGCAGGGGGCGTCGCGACGAGCAGGGGCGACGCCCCGCGGGTCCCACAGGGGGCGTCGCGACGAGCATGGGCGACGCCCCGCGGGTCCCACAGGGGGCGTCGCGACGAGCAGGGGCGACGCCCCGCGGGTCCCGCACGGACGTCGCGACGAGCAGGGCGACGCCGCGCGGGTCCCGCAGGGGGCGTCGCGACGAGCAGGGGCGACGCCCCGCGGGTCCCGCACGGACGTCGCGACGAGTAGGGCGACGCCGCGCGGGTCCCGCAGGGGGCGCCGTGACGAGCAGCGGGGAGGGCAGCGCGCAGGCCCCCTCGAGGGCGCTCCGACGGATGGGAAAACCGCCGCGTGCCCCGAGCGCGCGGCGGGCAGAAAAAGCCGCCACGCGTTCGAAGCGCGTGGCGGGATGAAAATGCAATGCCGCGCACCACGGGGCGCGCGGCGAATAGTACGGCAGCGGAAGTAGGTGGTGGGCCCGATGAACTAGGCGGCAGGATCATGCCGGCTCTAGATACCATGTTAGAATAGTAGGTGTGGGGCCTAGGCTTAGTAGCCTAGGCCCACACTAGGAGGTAGGTGGGCTTGCTCTAGAACTAGGAGTTAGGGTTTACGAAGGAGAATTGGAAGGAAGAATGAGGGACTAGGAAGCAGCAGGACACACAAAATGGCAAACCCTAAGGGGTTGTACTCACTATTGAGCACCCCACTGCAAGCTAGACAAATAACATTCTAACAGGCGGGGCCGCTGAGAGGAGGCGGCGGGGCCGCAAAGGTAGGTGCGGGGCCGCAGGTAGGTGGCGGGGCCGCTAGTAGGTGGCGGGGCCGCAGGTAGGTGGCGGGGCAGCTGGTAGGTGGCGGGGCCGCAGGTAGGTGGTGGGGCCAGCAGGTAGGTGGCGGGGCCAGCAGGTAGGTGGCGGGGCCGCACAGGTAGGTGGCGGGGCCGCGGGTAGGTGGCGGGGCCGCTGGTAGGTGGCGGGGCCGCACAGGTAGGTGGCGGGGCCGCGGGTAGGTGGCAGGGCCGCTGGTAGGTGGTGGGGCCGCAGGTAGGTGGCGGGGCCGCACAGGTAGGTGGCGGGGCCACGGATAGGTGGCGGGGCTGCTGGTAGGTGGCGGGGCCGCAGGTAGGTGGCGGGGCCAGCAGGTAGGCGCCGGGGCCGCACAGGTAGGCGTCGAGGCCGCAGGGCGGCGGGTCGGGGCCAGGAAGGGCGGCGCGAGGGCCGCAAGGCAGGCGACAGGGCCGCTAGGGCGGCGCGACGGGGCGAGAAAAAAGGGGGAGCGCGACTCGGGTAGGGCTGAGCGCGCTCCGGGCAGGAAAAGAAAAAAAATGTCGAATTGGTGGGCCCTAGGAACAGTTCCTACGAGGGAACCTGCTCGATACCATGTGAGAATCGAAACGAGAATGAATGAACTATGAATGAATTGGGTACAAGTACTAACCCTAATTGGGTTGTACCCCTTATAAGCTACCCCACTATAGCCTACACAATATGCATGTGCTATAATGTTCTGACAGCGCCATCACTGGCTGTGCCTGAGCGCTGTCCCACGCTGTCGTGTTGCGTTGGTGTGCCGGACGAAATGACGATCGGCTCGTCCGATTGTGCAGATGCATTTGTCGGTGCGTGTGGTGGCGCTGGAATGTTCACCGTGGATTGCTGACGTACGGAGTCACGTTCCGCCGTGAGCGTCGCAATTTCGAGCGTCGTATCTTCAAGTTTGCGCACCAGACGGTCAAGCTGCTTCTGCGTCAATGTGGCGAGCGTGAATTCGGCCATGGCGGGGGTGTCGTCGGGCGAGCTCAGCGAGAGCCTCGGTCGTGGCCGTGCATGCTTACGAGAGAGCACTACGAGCGGCGTTGTTGTGTCGCTGAGAGACGTCTTCCCCCCCCCAAAAAATTGATATAGTGGGGAAGCGAAGGTGTGGGTGCGGTCCGAGAGGAGATCGTAGGCTTTGAATACCAAGTGTTACGAGTGCAATTGAGTGAACGAACGAGAATTGCACTATCGAAGCAAGAGTACAATGAGCGAAGAATATATAGCGGAACTACAGTGGTAACGGTAATGGACTGTGGTTGTCGCGCGACGGGCCTGGGACTGTGGTTGGGAAAAAGTGTCGAAGCGGAGGCCCGGAGCACGGGTTACTCGCCGAGCCGTGAGGTCGGGGTGCGATGTGCGAAGGTGGCGGGCGGATTGTCGATGTGAGGGTTGCGAGTGGTAACGGTGCTGACTGTGGTGCTACAGTGATGTACGCGTTGAGCATGGATGCGAAGTAAGGAAAAGGAATTTTCCTTACAGATACAAACTGTGATGGAGTTCACTTCAGACTGTGTTAAGGAAGGTTTGTTCACTTCAATGTTAAGTACCCATAGCTACATGAAGCTGAACAGCCAAGAATGCATGGAGTGGGCAAATGGTCTCTTGAGCAAGAACGGTTGTTTCGTTAGCGGAGATTTCGGGCGACCGACATTTTCGATGTTGGTTTTCCAGCCACCACTGCAGCGGCTTGACAAATCCCGCCTTTCAAATTTCAGCCATGCAGCACGACGGCCCGCAGTCATCGAGTCGCATCCCTTCCAGACGACCAATGGTGTTTCCCGCTCCTTCCCACAGAGCCGGTGGCCCGCTCCATTCCAAATTTTCAGGTTCGTCAAAATTACAGCTACGGACGCCACCGCAGTCAATTTCCCTGAGGTTCCGCCATCCGCTGGAACACTGGGAGGAACCAAACGTAGAGAGGGAGAAAGAGAGAGATCAGCAAGGAAGCACCCATGCAAGTGATATGGCCGTTTTCTCAAAAGCGCAAACGGCTGTTGTGCTCCTTCGGTGGCGAGGCGAGGCGAGGTACCCTCGACCTGTCGAACCGCTCCGACAGAACAGACGACCGACGAAAACACGGCGGGTTGAAACGCCTGTGCGAGTTCGTGCCCTTTAAATGTAGGCCAATGAAAGAGTTGGACAATCAGCCACTGCTCAGATCTCCACTTCCCTTCCTCTGACCATCAAAGCTAATCTGCTTGTGAGTAACAGTCTCATTCGACGCAGCAGTCCGATCCTGAAATCCATAGTTTGACCGTAGTTGATCAATCCACGCTAACTAGCCTCTTATCACCAGACCCGAAGCCAGTCAACAAGAGCCATGGCTCGTTCATTCGCCTTCGCTGTCGCTTTAGCCGCGCTTGCCGTCATCTGCGCCGTTTCGTCCGTTAGCGCGATAACCGCCGCGCCAGGAACAACGCCAGCTCCGAACGCCAAGGGAATTCCGGCAACAGGAACGGGAGCGGCGCCGAAGCCGAAGGCAGGGCCGCCGCCGACGAGGACGCAGCTGCGCGCCGAGCTGAAGAAGCTGTCGGCGACAATCACCAAGAAGTACCCGAAATACGCCAAGTACTCGACGCAAGTCAACAAGGCCATCAATGTCGCCCGTGAGTTTCATCAACACTCCTAGCATGCAGAGCATATGGCCTTCTGGTAGTCCTCCTGGGAACGGCTCCCAAAGCACCCAGAAGATGGGCATCAAGAATGCCAATCAAGGGGCCTCATAGGAGTCTTGCTAGCAACGGCTGCTCAGTCTCGTCAGCCGTCGACTCGCCAGACGCTCCCTTTTCGATCCCCTCCCATGCTGTTATGCCACACCCTTCTCGATCCGCTTTTGATTGCAATCCTTTCCTAACCGTGTTGATTCCATTCTCCCCTCGGGGCTCCCCCGTCCATCTCTGATACAGTGAACTCCAAGTACAACTTGACGGCGCTGCAGAGCGCTACGATTCTGCTGATGAACGACGTGGTGGCGGACCGCCTGTCGCTGCGCTTCAAGGGCAAGAAGATCCCCAACGACGCGGCATACAACTTGACGGCCGTGCAGATCATCGCGAGGCGCCTCACGCTGCCGGATCTGCAGGCGATCAAGAAGGGCCAGCTGCTGCCGACGCAGCTCAAGGGGGTCAGCCTCGTGAAGATGTCGCCGGCGGGGCCGAAGGTGGTGCTGGGGCAGCAGGGCCTGGCGAGGCCGACGTGGAGCACGGTGCTGGACCCGCAGATGTACGTCGGCCCGTACTTCGTCGCGCACGGTGTTGATAACCCGCAGTTCCCCGTGGGCACCAAGCTCCCCGCGTAACGTGAATGCGGGAGACGGCCTAGGTGGAAGCTTATACGGGAAGGGCCTGCGTGAAGCTTGCAGGCCCGCTTGTGAAAGCGTATACGAATGCAGATTATACATAGCGCGTATGGAGCGGATGTGATGCGTCATGCACAAGGCGTTCTTGTGGAACCTTGTGACTCGCTGCTTGATTGCCATGTTAACTCAATGGCTACATAGGCTGGAACTTTAGGGAGGATCTTCACCTTTAGTTTATATTGTTATGAGATATTCTGCTTATTATGTTGACTTAAGTTTCTGATTATCCTGAGAACTGAGAGGGTAGAGCTGGAGGCCCCAACATACAAACCTTCCAAACCATAATTTATAGTCACAATTTCTGTTCTAGTATGCTACTTGTTGGGCAGAAACGCCCACATGTTATTTTTAGAGGATGGAACTATAACAAAGCAAATATCTTGCCGAAACCAGTGGAAGCGAAGCGTACTGTAGTTGTAAAACATCTGTACAGTCCAGGTGATGCTGCTGTGGCAGCCAGTTTCAGCTCACCAATTGCAACCACTCTCGCTTCATTTGTCACAACACCATAGGCTCCCGCACTTCAGCGAGTGGTTTCTATTGACAGGCTACGAACTTTGCGAAAGCCTCTCACAGTCAAGGCATCACAATCTCACGGTCTTCAAAGGTGCCACCTCAGCAGCGCAGTACAAGCGGTTACCAGCATGTAGCTCGGTTCGCTCCACGGATCTGATGTGACGAAGCGACTCTTGGGGCACAGTTTGACAGGCAGACCCTTGAGAAGAGAACCCTCCAATTCCTGAGGACGCGTCACAATTGCGACATCGATCTTGCGGGAGATCGATGTTCCGGGTACAGTAGTTCGCTGTGTCTTGTATCCCTATTTCGTTAATGTTCGTTAATACCCGACACGTCACCGAACGCTATGTCCCTTCCAGGTCGATCTGTCACCGCACTCAAATCATACTTGTTGCATTTACAACTTTCAAAAAGGCTTCTAACCCCGTTAACTTTCGAACCTGAAGACGATCGCGCCACATCTGGCTCGGTGGAGATCGATTTACAGCTTTGGTGTGTGACCGCGATCCTCCCTCGATGTCGCAATTGTGACGCGTCCTGAGTCCATGAAGTCCTGCTGGCCTTGGGAATTGTGATGACAGCCAGTCCATTCCAGGCAAACAGGGAAATCCCCTGGCTTCAAAATTTTATTGATCAGGAGAGCAAGTTCAAAATTTGCAAGAGGTAGCTAAAAGACTGGTGATATTTGCAGCACGCTGTGCTGTCCTGCTGTCCTGCTCCGGCTGTCTTTCCAGTCGATCGCGCGGATCAGCTCTCGGTCAGCTTCCGTGTGTTGATCGATCAGACATGGCGGAGCAGAAGAAGGGGTCGGTGTGGGGTTCCGTGAAGCCGTTCGTGAATGGCGGAACGGCTGGTATGATGGCCACCTGCGTGATCCAACCTATCGACATGGTTAAGGTTCGTTACTTCCTTCCCAACGTCGACTTAAGACTGTTGCCCTTGACGAAAAAATAGAACAGATTGTCCTTTATCTGGACTTACTTGATCTTGAATGAACTTAGTGAACCATCGTATCACGATCCGTTACTGAACATTTACAGCTCCTTATTTCATTTTTACTTATGAATCGTTTTCTTTTTCTTCCCTGTCGCCGGTTTTTTACCCTTGCGTACAACAGGTCCGGATCCAGTTGGGCCAGGGCTCGGCGTTTGAAGTTACAAAGAATATCATTCAGAAGGAGGGTGTGGCGTCCTTCTACAAGGTAACGTCATGCTTCGACACGAGATGTTGTCACGATTCGACACCAGGTTTCATCGTGCTCCTAGTGGATATGGCACCTGATTCAAACATAATGGCATGACGAAAGAAGATTTTAAGCTGCGTCAACAAGGATCGATCGTGCATTGACGCCAGTTACTAGTTTCAGGGAACTTGTGTGGTCCGTTTTCCAGAATGAGGAGATCAGTTTTTTCTGAATGAGGAGATCACTGTCTTAGCGCGAGTTGAGCTCTCGCCATCTCGACTCTTGCCTCACATTTTTATTTTAGGTTTACGAAGTTTGCCTTCGACTCCAACACTCGCCATCTTGCCCATTGCTGATCGAGTTGTTATCTCTAATCCATTCTTCCTCTCTTCAGGGTTTGTCTGCGGGTCTTCTCCGACAAGCCACATATACCACCGCTCGCCTTGGATCGTTCAGGTACTTCGCATTTTCCAATCGCATTCTACATTCCTCTTGTAACATGCAGTCACCATACTACTAGATTTTGCTAACGAGGTCCATGGGTCCTTACGCATTTTAGCGTGCGTGTCAGTACATATCATGCAAACGACGTGCATCGACAGTGCAGGGTTATAGAATCGCCACACAAGGTACCCCATGGAACCACATTGCGCGAAAATGAGTTGGTGAAATCGGATCTCGTTGACGTCAGTTATCAACGTCACGTGGAAGGTTGTGAGAGACCTATATCCCACGGTCTGGGCGGGATGTCCCTCTTCGTTTGCTCTCCGCTTAAGTGCTCCGAGAGATGCTGTCCGCGTGGGGGAGACGCGCGCAGATCCGTACCCCTCTCGCATCCACGCCTCTCCAGGCAAATCCCACAGAAGCCTCGTTTTAGAGATCGTGAAATCAATCCCGTGAATTTTTTGGTTCGCTCATTCCCAGCCACATCTCTTGACCTCCTCCCGTCGCTGATCCGCAGGTATCTCACCACGGAGGCCACCAAGGCCAACGACGGCAAGCCCCTGCCGCTCTACCAGAAGGCGGCGTGCGGGCTGACGGCGGGCGCCATCGGCGCGTGCTTCGGCAGTCCCGCGGATCTCGCACTCATCCGCATGCAGGCGGACTCCGTGCTCCCCGCGGCGGAGCGCCGTGGGTACAAGAACGCGATTCACGCTCTAACGCGTATAGCGGCGGACGAGGGCGTGACGGCGCTGTGGAAGGGCGCGGGCCCCACGGTGGTTCGTGCGATGGCGCTGAACATGGGCATGCTGGCGTCGTACGATCAGAGCATGGAGTACTTTAAGGACACGCTGCAGCTTAAGGAGATCCCCGCTGTTATCGGTGCGTGCTTATAGTGGTATGTGATTGTAATGCGTGTGGTGTTCGATGGGAGTGGTGGTGGTGGGAGGCATGGCGCTGCACGTGGGCAGGCTGTCCTACGGTGAAACCAGAGAGCACATGGTGTGCTGTATCGCTTCCTCTCTCGCCCCCTCCCCGTCCCTCTGTTTGTGTCCTCCCCCCATATCGAGCCTGGTGTTCTTTCTTCACAACCCTGCTCGATCCCCCGTCCTCCCTTCCCCCCTTGGCACCCTTTCTCATCCGCCCGTCCCCATCCCTCAGGCGCGAGTGCGGTATCCGGATGCTTCGCATTCGCATGCAGTCTGCCATTCGACTACGTGAAGAAGCAGATCCAGAAATACAAACCCTCTTTTTCTCTTCCGTCCTAATTCCCCCATCCCTCATTCCGTCACTCCCGCATGCAGCCTCCCCTACGACTACGTGAAGAAGCAGATTCAGAAGCAGAAACCCTGTTTTCCTTCTGCCTTCCCGATTGTATCCCACCCCCCTGTCCCTCATCCCTCAGGCGCGAGCGCAGTATCTGGATTCTTCGCGTCTGCGTGCAGTCTGCCGTTCGACTACGTGAAGACGCAGATTCAGAAGCAGAAGCCGGGGCCGGACGGCAAGCTGCCGTACAGCTCCTCCATGGACTGCGTCGTGCAGACGCTCAAGCAGGGCGGCCCCCTCAAGTTCTACACCGGCTTCGCCACCTACTGCATACGTATTGCGCCGCACGTCATGGTGCGTGTGGGTCTAGTGCGGTGAAGAATGCGGGCTTGACATGATCGGGTGTGCTGGTTTGACGGTTGGGTTTGTTGGTTAGTCAGGGTTTGGGTGTGCTGCGCAAGACGCTCAAGAAGGGGGCCCTCTCAAGGGCCGGACGGCAAGCTGCCGTACAGCTCCTCCATGGACTGCGTCGTGCAGACGCTTGAGCAGGGCGGCCCCCTCAAGTTCTACACCGGCTTCGCCACCTACTGCATACGTATTGCGCCGCACGTCTTGGTGCGGTATGTGTGGGTTTGGTGTAATGGTGTGGTTCGGTTTGGTCTTGGGGTGTGGGTGCGGCTGTTGGGGTAGAGTGGGTTTGATGTCATGTCATTTCGCTTTGCTGTTGTTTGAGTGAGTGTCGCTCAAGCTCGACTTCGCACACTTCGCCACCTCCAGTGAACGTATCGGTTACGCACATCATGGCATGCCCGGGTGTGATGTTGTGGAGTTGGGGGGTTCACGCAGCGGGTATGTGTCAGTCTCTCACACTGGATTTGCCCTTATGCGAGAATCTCAGTTCCTCGGGTTGCCTTGTGGTAGCTTGTCTAGTGTTCCCAAGGCTTTGTCTGACACTTGTGGTTTTAATTCTGGTGGCTTGCTGTGCGCTTTCCTCCTTGGTGCCCCTGCAGCTGACTTGGATCTTCCTCAACCAAATCCAAAAGCTTCAGAAGGCCAATGGCTTGTAGCGACCCTACGCGCCTGACTGAGCCTGTTGTTACATGTGTTATCTCAAATTCGCTATTCTATACACTAGCTAGCTCGCAGACTCACTTCTACAAAATGCCGTCAAATCACTAAGGTGGACAAGCTCCTTATCTGACCTCAGGTTGTAAGAATGTAGACAAACAAAGCTCCTGCAACCTGGTATGGTATGATGGCAACTAGAAGCTTTCCAAGTCGTTCATAAGCCGCTGGAGCTTTGGCCTGACTCAAGGTTGATTGAGGAGTTCCAAATTTATTGGCAACACTAAGGGAACGTTTCTGTGGAGACACTTGTGTCTCAATCCTCTTGTGACGCGTAAAAACAGCTTACTCCATACAATGTCACAAACGCGTGTCACCCTTGTGCGACTTTTACTGTATTTTTCATTTGTCAGCGCGAAACGTGCTGATGTCGCGGACTCTGTGCACGGTTCGAAATGTCAATGCACCTGGAAACAGGGCCCACATTATCAGGGCAAAACATCCTGATTACCCTGAATTCAGGATGCCGTTTTGTATTTACCCTGCTATTTCAGAATAATGACAATTTTCACCCTGAGATCACAGGATGTCTTTATATGAAGTGCCCTGTACATTCAGGATGGCCGTAGTGTTTCCCTCTGTAACGTCAGGATGAATACCGAGGCCTACCCTGACGCGTTTTTGGGGGGGGGGGGGGGGGGGGGGGGGGGGCTGGCGCGGTACGGGGAGTTTTTTCTCCATTGAATTTTCTCCCCGTGTATGTTTCCCGCCTTCGCATGATGTCTTTGAGTTCCGATCCCCCGCAAGGCACCAGCCAAGCCCTAACCCATCAGACTGGAAACAAGTTGGGCAACAAGGCAACTCCTTGTGTGTCTCTCTCTCGACTTCGTTGAGCACTCCATGATCCATCCAACCAACACCCAACCAGCGTTGCCACTAGAGTAGCAGAAGTGAAGCTAGCCTGGCTCAGTAGGACTAGTGATGGCTAACGAGCACGATGGCGCGACGCTAGTATCACGAGGTCTAACCGGATTGGACTTCCTGCGTCCTGTTCAGACTGTGTCCACATTACCAACACCCTCACCTGCAGCTATATCATCTCGAACTCCCGCATTCACAGCCGACCGTGCTAATACGAACGGCCCCAGCGTTGTACCACCTGGTGCGACACGCATGGGCCCTGCCGCTATTGCTAAATTAAGAGCGACCAAGCACAAACAGTCGCGCTTGTCGTTCTCTCGCGAAAGTCCTACGGAACCAACCGTACGTATCCGCTTAGAGCCAGCTCTTCCAGGACCATCGGCCGTTCCTGCAGCATCTTCAGCTACAGAGGAACTTCGCGATGAGGCAGAGGATAAATACCAGGAGGCGCTTACGAAGTACAAACGGGAATGGTCAAGTGATTTCCCGTGGCTCGTGCTTTGTCAAACTTCATTCGGTTTCCCATCAGTGAGGTGCAGCTTGTGTATCAAGCACGCAGGACACGGCACAAACTACGGCGCTGCTGGCGAAGGAGCTGTCGACGTCCAAACCCAGGCGTTCCGCACGCATCAAAGCTCCAGGAAGCACAAACGGTCCGTCAAGCGTCAGGCCCAGGCGGAGCAGGCGGCGAAGAAGCAGCAGCGTATCGTCGACTGTCCAAAGGCCGGAGACATCCAGCGCGTAAGGGTCATCGCTCTGCTGGAGACCCTGCTGTTCGTCTGCAAATGTGACGCACCGATCGAAATGTGGGTTCAATTCGTGCGGCACCTTGCAGAGCGACAGACACCAGGCTTCCCGAAGAATGGCTACGGTGCTTACTACACAAGGTGAGCTGTTGCTCTGCACATGCTGCTAAACCCGAGAACCGTTGTACGGAGGTTGTGCACAACCTGTTCTATGTTGCTAACCCTATGTACATCTTTCCCGTTTGATGCAGATACGGGTTTGCAGAGCTCATCGCAAGCACTGCAGCATATATCCGTGCTCGTCAGCAAGTCTGGTTGCAGTCTAGTCCATTCATTGGAGTTACCTGTGACGAGAGTACAGATCGGGTGCATGGCAAACACCAGATCGTGTTTGCCACATTTCTCTGTGACTCTCGGCCAGTCACTGAGTTCATTGGTCTTTTGACGGTGGAGAAAGCCGATGGCGCTTCGCTTCTTTCCCTGCTGCTGACCCTACTTGACTCTCTTGGAATTGACACGAGCAGGGTGGCCGGGATTAGCACGGATGGCGCAGGTGCGATGATGGGTAGCACAAACGGCCTGGTGGCTCGGCTGCGTGTAAGGGTCCCGCACCTCTTCTCCAGCCATTGTGTTGCGCATCGGTGTGTAATACTACTGATTGCCAGCGTGTGCTGTTTCTACCTACCCATCACGTTGTGCAGATAGTAGAAGGCTGGCAGGAGCTCATATGATCCATAGCTCATGCCATTCCTCACCCTTTCTGTTTCGCCCATACTTTCCTGTCTCCCCCCCTTCTCTCGTGCCCACACCGTGTCGTGCAGAGAGGCCCTGGCAGCCAAGGACGCCGCCAGTGCAGTCCCTGAGCTGGGCCTGATCGACTATGTCCTGAAGGAACTCGCGGAGTACCTGGGAAGGTCGCATCCTTCCCACAATGAGTTCCAGGAGCTGCAGGAGGTGTTCTGCAAGACTAACCTTGAACTGCAGGGAATTCACTCAGTTCGTTGGCTGAGCCGCGGCGATGCCATCACGCGCTTGGTGCGTGTTCTCCCTGCCGTCATCGTGCTCCTGTGGGAGTGGGACGACGAGTGGTACCACATTGTGACTTCAGTGAAGTTCAATGTGTACCTTTACTACCTCGCCGACATGCTCAACCTCCTCAACACCCTCAACCTTGAGTTTCAGAGGCGGGAGGTGAGTACCCTACTGTAAGCCCGAGACCCTAGTCTGTGCTGGTTGGACGGTCCTTGTTAAATCTGCACCTTGTCATGTGGCAGGTCGACATGACATCGGTGCAGTCGACCGTGCGCCGCACACTGATAACCATCCGAACGCGCTACATCGAGTGCGGCGATGACTTCGGTGGCGGCCCACAGCTACACCTCGGGGCCTTCCTAGCCAGGCTCAGTAAGTCTCCGAAAGTCACTGTGGTAGGCGTGGACAAGGAGGGGGAGAAGCGGGAACATAGTTTTGAGCTGCACGAGGAGGAATTGACGGGCTACAGCAAGACAGCTGACGACTTGCAGACGTGCCTCGACGTCTGCCGCCGCCACGCCAATTCGACGCTCACCCACCTCCAAAAGAGGCTGGGGGATCTCGACAGCCTGAACGGTGTCCGGCTGTTTATGCCAGACACGTACCCCGAAGACATGGAGGCACGCGCTGAGGAGTGCCGCGAGCACTTGGAGACCCTCGTCGCCCTGTTCCATGCCCGCGAGCGATCAGACATTCTCCCAGGTAAGCATTTGTGTTCTGCTCCTACCTGTTGTACTGCTCCTGCCCGATCTGCACTACTGTTCTCCTACCCCACAGTCTCCCACAATCTGCCAAGTTCTCTCCTTGCTATGTACATTTCCACCTCTCTGACTTGTTCTGCCCCTGCTCTGTCACTGTTATGTGTGTTGTGTTATGCTTGGCATGGCAGGAGTGGACAAGCGAGCTGCCAAGAAGGAACTGAGGACATTTGTCCCTGTTCTGGCTGGCGCTCCCAAAGGCGAGCGCACATTTCAACGCGGACTGGCGGCCATGCTGAGAACGAAGGACTGGGAGCGGAGCTACCCCAACCTCGTCCGCCTCTGGACGGCGGTGGCTGTCCTGCCGCTCAGCACCGTCGAGTGTGAGCGCGGCTTTAGCCGCCAGAACGTGATTAAGTCCTGGCAGAGGACCAGCCTCTGTGATGCCAGGCTCAGTGACTTGATGTGCCTGAGCCTAACTGAGTATGACATGGAATGGGGTAAAGTGGTGGATTTGTGGCGCAGCAGCAAGAAGAGGAGGCCTACTAAGAGAAGGGAGCAGCAGAGGAAGGCGGGGAAGGGGAACGGGGGGGAGGACGGACAAGAAGCAGATACTGAACATGGCAGTGGCAGCAGCAGCGACAGTGGGTTTGGTAGCAGCAGCGAAGATGATGATGATGAGGAGGGCTAGGAGAGGTGGTGCAGGAGTTAATTGCCTAGTAAAACACCAACTGTATGTGCGCTGCAGCGTTGCGGCTGCTCTGCTATGCTAAACAGAACAGAGTCTACCCTGCCCTGGTCTGTTTGTGCTAAAATCAGAACCCTGAACGCTACTAATTTTGCCCTGACACGTCAGGATTATTTTCTGCAAAAGCCCTGACCAATCAGGAAGGCTCAGAAGATTTGCCCTGAGAAATCAGGGCATTTTTTTGGATTCTAGAAAAGTGCCCTGAGGGCTCAGGGTGCCCCAAAACCTAGAACGGGCCCTGCCTGGAAATGTCAATGTAAAAGGAATTTTCCTTACACTACCCCCCCCCTAAGGAGGTACTCCTTTCGAAAGTGCGTGTACATCCCTGAAATTTTGGCTGCGCAAATACTCGGTGAGGACGGTGTGGTTTTCGATTCTGCCCAGGGGAACCCAATTGTCTTCGGTGGGTGTACGGTCCTTCCAGCGGAGTAAGAACTTGATCCTTCGGGCTCCTCGAGGGTCGCGAACTCTGTGACTCAGGATTTTCTCAAGGGTGAAAATTGGTTCAGTTGGTGGTCTTTGTCATGCTGGCTGGGCGATTGCGTGGCAGTTGGCTCGTGGACGGGACGTAAGGGCGAAGTAGGCTGACGTACCAATCAGCAGGGAGGAGGAGGTGGGCGGTGACGGGTGTAAGCATGTGGCTTATGCGAAATGGCCCGCAGTATCGGGGGCGGAGTTTCGGGGTGATGGGCAGTCGGAGGTTCTGATGTGAGAATGAACGAGAATGAATGCACTATGAAAGAGTTGGGCACAAGTACTAACCCTAATTGGGTTGTACCCCATATAGGCTACCCCACTACAGCCTACACAAAAGCATAAGCTATAATGTTCTGACACACCCCTATAGGCAAAGTGGG